CGCCGCCCCCTGGTCAACTTTGAGCGCGAGGAGAAGCAACTTTGACAGTGGCCTCGGGTTTCGAACCCCGCTTCTCCTGGGCAGCAGTAGCCTCGCTAGTCGCTGGGGTGAGGGGAGCAAGAGTTTTCTGGGCGCATCTGCGCTGCGTCTGGCTGTTTGCAACCTGTTTCCAGCGAGCGGGGAGCAGGCTTGCAGCTACTAGTCATCCGGAGGAGGGGAATTTGTTTTTCTTTCCCCTTAGCGACCTCGGCTCGCTACTGGATAAAGCAATATCGAAAGGATGTAAATAGGCAGAGCAACCGTTACCAAGAAGGCAATCACCCAAAGGCAGGGAGGAGCGTGGGGCTTCGTCCCGGCTTCTCCCAGTCGCAACATTAATCAACAGTCAGGTGTTGGTTGCAACTTTTCAAGGTCAGCCACCGGGAGCAGCGAGTCCCTCTCTGTACCTTGGGGATACGCAGCGGTCGGGTTGGATTTGGCTGAGAAATGCACGGGACGTCAAACGAGGAAGGATTGTAAAGCAGGAGGGTTGTGACCCCAAGACCCATCCCCCCACCTCCCCGTAATCTCCCGAACCCAGCTGCCCCGGCGGGGGTGAGTGTGCGACATGTGTCTAACCCTCAGCAGCAACTTAGGCAGCAGGTGTTGGTCCTAAGTAGGAGCCGCGGCTACCGGGTGCGCCCTCACCGAGCCATGCGGGCCCCAGGAGCGCCTCTCGCCTGCATCTCGCGGCTGCTGCTTCTGCTCCTGCTCAATGTTTCTGCCTCTCCTGCCCTCGGGTCGGTCCCTGCGCCCAGGAACGGAACTTGTCTGGGGGAAAGCTGTTCACCTGCACTGAACCAGCGTCGCACCAAGGATGCTTGGGGACTGGAGAATTTTGCGGAAGACCTGCTCACCCGTGCGCTCAAGGAGGAGGAGCAGGAGGCTGCGGGTCGCGCGGCGCACTCGTGGGACCTAGCGGCCGCCCGGGGCGGTGACTCAGGTGCGGGCAAAGGGGCGGAGGCGTCTGCAGCTGAGCCCTCGGGACCTCCAGCCAGGCCGCCTGGCGCTTGGAAGTGGAAAGGGGCGCGGGGTCAGGAGACCCCTGGAACTTTGGGGAGAGGAAACCCCTCTGCCTTCCATCTCTTCTTTCAGACCTCAGAAGAGAGAGAAAAGGGTCCGAGAGGCTCTGGCATTTCCGGGCGCAGCCCGGAGCCGAGTGTGAGGACAGAACCTGGAGCCAGCGACCTTTATTACTGGCCGAGGAAAGTCGGGAAACTCCAGGGTTCCCACCACAACTCCCCACCCAAGACGGTCAACGGACCATTGGGGCACGAAGGGCGGACGATTGCAGCCCCCGGCCGAGCGCTGGCCCAGAATGGATCCTCAGGTGATGGAGTTCACGAACGCGGGGGTCCCCGCAGAGGAAACAGCACGAACCGGCGCTTGCGACTTAAGAATCCCTTCTACCCGCTGACCCAGGAGTCATACGGAGCCTATGCGGTCATGTGCTTGTCGGTGGTGATCTTTGGGATCGGCATCATTGGCAACCTGGCGGTGATGTGCATCGTGTGTCACAACTACTACATGCGGAGCATCTCCAACTCCCTCTTGGCCAACCTGGCCTTCTGGGACTTTCTCATCATCTTCTTCTGCCTTCCGCTCGTCATCTTTCACGAGCTGACGAAGAAGTGGCTGCTGGAGGACTTCTCCTGCAAGATCGTGCCCTACCTCGAGGTAATGCCTCCCAGGGGGTCTCAAGCTAATGGCTTTACTCACTTCCAGGATTTATAGCATGAGAACTACTGCTCCACGCACCTACCTGTCTCTGAACTCCTTCACTTTTTCTCTGGGTCCCTCCATTTCTCTTGCCAATTATTTATGCTCCTGTCTGTCCGTTTGTCTATCTGTCTATCTATTGAAGGGGCAGCTTTGTTCACTCACCTTCCAACTCACCTGTTCCCAGGTTGTGAATGAATTATGATCTCAATGTATAGAATTGTTTCGGTTTTAAATTTATCTCTCTAAATAGTGTCATATATATTTCTGATTTGGCACCTATCAGAGATTCTAGGGTTAATAAATGGCCAGTCCATGGTTGTCATTATTAGAACTCAGCAAGGAAAAAACCTGTATCATTTATCTAATAGACTTCTAGTGCTTCGACATGATTTCTCCCCAAGAATATTATTGCATTTTTTCTTAAATATCAAAATTGGAATAATATTTTATTTTATTTAACAAAGGAAATCTGCCTTTCTTTGTCAATTGGCCTCATGATATATTAATAACCTCCCAAGTTACTTTAAGTGTTTTGGCTGTCTGCCATGTAGTTCCATCTAAATTCTTACGTCGTGTTTCTTTTTTCTTCTCAATTTCTTAACAATTTTATTTATTTGTATGTATGGGCTAAGCAAAAATAACACTTTGGCCATCAAGGCACAGAATTTATTGACCATTCTCAAAGTATATAATATATATTTGTCATTCGTTAAAGTTAAAGGAATTGGCTATTTTAAGAGATTGATTCTAAGACAAAAAAAAAATCTTAAGAAGAGGGGACATGTAAGAGGTTCTAAACTTTGGAAACAAAAATATTTCTGAGTAAAATTTTACTGTTTCATCCTAGTGTCCTGCACCATTATTATGGTAGTTGGAATTAGCTCTTTAAATGGCCTCTCTTTAAACGCCAGCTCTTGGAAGGAGCCCAAGTGCTTTGTTGCCAGTTGTGTTTTTAGCCAGCTGGCCCTTGATTTCCTCCATTCAGACTGTCTGTTTCATTTATGGAAGCAGAAGAAGGGAAACTGTAAATATTCGAGAGCCCCCTGATTCTGTCTGGCACCAGGGCCAGTGACACTATGTTCAACATTGTTCCAGGGCCTAAAGCTAGGGAATAAGTAAACAGAAAACAGTACCTGCTTAGAACAACCAAGGCAAGAGGCAGTAAATAAGACCCTGTTATCCTCGCAGGGAGCAGAAGCAGAATCATTCCATGCTTGCTAAATCAGCTGTTGCTACTTTACCAAGATCTAGGATTTCTCTTGTTGCCAAGCTCCAAGTAGTTCTCAAACATCTAATTTATTTGGTCGACAGCTCATTTTTGAACTGCAGAAGAGGTAGTTGAATTTGTTAGAGAATATGCGTCTACCAGTTGTCTTTTACGAGTCAATTTCAATTTAAAATTTCTCTGATCATTTGAATAATGCAGAAGAAATTGACATATGCAAGAAAGACACAAAAGTAAACTCTAAAGTGAACAAGAGTGTATTGGTTTGTCTTGAATGTACCAGACATGTAGAAACTGTTATTAGTAGAGGAAAAAACGATAAAGAATTCAGGGGAAAAAGAAAAACCCTTGGGAAGGAAAAAAATTTACCAAAGTTCTTGAAAAAACATTAAAAGAAAGAATCCCATCCAAATTCAGAAAAGAATATAAAAACTTTGCTTATTTTAACGATACCTGTGAGTTTTGAGTGATGGCATTTATTGTGTAGGTTTTAATTTTCTTTCTAATTCTAAAGATTTAAAAAAATGTATATTGTATTTTATTTGTATTTCATTTTCCAATTTAATTCTCTTAAGGAAGACTGTTTTGTTTTTACCACTTCTCTTATTATTAACACAATTATTGTTATTTTTGCTCTCTATGTTTTTTCCTCTCTATAGACCTATTTTTTTTAGTAATTGGCACCAGGCTTTATTTTTCCTAGAGAAACAACAGTTTGGAAAAAAAGCTTCACTCATTTTTTTTTTCTGGAAAAATTAGACTATACTATGCATTTTTACTGTAAAGGTAATGAATGAAAATCTTAATCTTCAATCCAAAATGTAGAATGTGTTTCTATGTTTCTACCTAATTCTATTCTTCTGAAGTAATTTTATAATGTTTTCACATACTTTGTGAAAATAATTATTGGACAGTAGTATCAGCTGCATAAATCCTGATTATGAGAACAAAAAGTACAGTCCAAATCTCAAAATAAAGCATTTCTGCCTCCAGGAGGCACTGTTATTTTCACATGTCACAGAGATTTAGTGCTTGTTCCATGGTAGTTCCCCTTACCCCCCTAATACAGACCCTAATGTCGAGGTTTGCTTGTAGGAGGCTTTTTGGGGCGTGTATCAAGTTCAACACCTGATAAGGAATGAAAGAAGCAGGACTGGGCAAAGGGAGAAGTTGAACTGTGTTGCAGATGCCACAAAGACCTCAGCTTACACCACAGGGAAATTTAAGGCTGGGGTGGCCCTGCACGGGTATCCTGAATTGAGGCAAGGGAGCTCAGACTTTACGTCCCCTAATGGACCAGTCATTGGATGCCAGTGGCTCCTAGGCAGGGGGCATAACTTGAGGTGGGTGGATCTCTTTGGTCAAGGGCAGTTCATAGAGAGGGATGCCGCTAAGAGCCATCAATTACCAATAGTCCCAGTGGTCGGGGTCTCAGCACTTCATTCCTGAAGGAAGGACTTTTGTGGGGAGGCAATCTGGGTGGGGAACCACAGCCTCCACTACAGGAGCTTTTGAATTATCATGTTAAATTAGAACCAGATGGCAATCTAATCCAACCCTCTGATTTTAAAGATGAGGCTCAGAGAAGAGAAATGACCATCCCAAGCATTGTAGTCAGTGGCAACCAGGATCTGTCCCAGCACTTGATGCTGATGTTTACTTATTCAACAAACATCTGTGAGGCAGAAGGGGTTCAGTGAGAGGTTTTCTTAAATTTCTGCTCCTTGGCATCTTTTAAAAGAACATATCCAATAGACAGGAATAAATAATAAGCACCACGTGTTTATCTTGTTTTATCTTGTTTCTCATAAATTGACAGTAAGTTCCACAGTTGGTGGTAGTTCATTAAATTTTTTAAAGTTTCAATAATCTGCGACAACTGCACCTTTTAAAGTGCCAAATATGGTTATTTTAATGATCAAATAAAGATATATAGATTACATTTTATGTTCTTGAAATAATGAAGTATTTTAGATTGGCAAAGGACTTTACAAATATATTACATTTGTTTAAATGTTTTCCAAAATCCACTTCTTCTTAATCTTTCTTCTTGACAAAAAGGCTTCTAAAAATATTTGACATTTATCTCCTTTTGTTATCTAGATTTTGCCTTTTCTTTACTTTCTTATATTTATTTGTTGGCTATTCTTTTTTTTTTTTTTTTTTACCACACACCCTCTTATTGATCTATAATGTATGATTTACCATTTTTTATTATAATCCATTATGCCTTTTCTAATGTTTGAATTTTTTAAAAATCAATTATTTAAAATTTTTATCCACAATTAATTTTTATTTATTTTTATTTTTCTTGAGGTATAATTGACATATAATATTATATTAGTTTTAAGAGTACAGCATAATGATTTGATATTTTATACACTGTAAAATAATTAACACACTGTCTAGTTACTATCTGTCACATAGTTTCAAAACATTTTTTGTGATGAGAACTTTAAAATCTGCTTTCTTAACAACTTTTAAATATGTTGTGTTCCAGTATTATTACCTGTAGTCATCATGCTACACATTATATCCCCATGAGTCATTTCTTTCATAACTGGAAGTTTGTACCTTTTGACTCCCTTCAGTCATTTCTTCCACCTCAGCCTCCGCCCTCTGGCAATCATCAGTCTGTTCTCTGTATCTATGAGCTTGTTTTTATTGTTGTTGTTATTGTTTGTGTTTTGTTTTTGTTTTTGTTTTAGATTCCACATTTAAGTGAGATCATGCTTATTTGTCTTCATCTGACTTATTTCACTTAGCATAATGCCTTTGAGGTTCATCTGTGTTGTTGTAAATGACAAGATTTCATTCTTTTTTTATGGCTGAATAATATTTCAGTGTGTGTGTGTGTGTGTGTGTGTGTGTGTGTGTGTGTGTGTGTGTATCACAATTTATCCATTCATCTGTCAATAGACAAGGTTGTTTCTATATCTTGGCTATTGTAATTAATGCTGCAATGAACATGAGGGTGCATATATTTTTTCAAGTTAGTGTTTTTGTTTTCTTTGGGTTATTTCCCGGAAGTGGAATCGCTGGATCATATGGTAGTTCTATTTTTAATTTTTTCAGGAATCTCTATACTATTGTCCATAGTAACCACAATTCATTTATGTTGATCTTTACAAATTTTATCTCCTATCTTCTCTTTTGCCTTTTCCTTTTCTACTGCAGTTTTTTTTTCCCCTGCAACTTGAGAATCAGCATAATCTCAAGAAGGTAGTAGAATTTTGGAGAGATTGAGTTTGTGTAGAAAAATAGGAGGCATTTCTTCAGCAGAAATTACAGTTCTTAGCAATTTGCATTTGACTCTTTTTTTTTTTTTAATTTCAATTTGTTGACATAAGGCTTGAGGAGAGAACCCAGTTTCCAGGACCTATTATTACTAGAAAGAGAGTTTTATCATACTTAATATTGCTATGAGTAGGCATATACTGGGAACCACTGGAGTTGATAACTTCTTTCTTTCTATTCTAGGATTATGATGGCTTTGTGGCCTAGTGATAAGTCCCATAAGGACCAAGGGCAGATGGGATAGTCGGAAAGAGGGATAGGAGAGAAGGAAATCTGGGTGGATGGGTCTACCCTAAATAGACATTATTTTAAACTGGTTTATGAGACAGTGACCAGAAAAAAAAAAACTGTACTTGAAGCAATCATTGTATGTGGAAAAAGAGAGAGAGAAGGAGAGGGAGAAGAAGAGGAATGGAGTTCTGGGTGTGGATTA